AAAATGAACTCTTTATGAAAATATAATTTTAATAAATATAAACGTTTTCTATTATTACTGATTCATATACCTTTCCAGCGCCTACCGGTCCAATGACTGCTAACAAATCTCCAGGTCTTAGATATACAGATATATTCTGAAGGGTTGGATACGGACTGTCCTGTCATATGGTATGAAAAGTATTTAATATTTATTTTAAACAAATTATTTATTCATTTCATACTTCACTCCATTTGGCGCTAATATTATTGACCGACAGTTCAGGCGTTTGTTTGCCTGAAGTATTCAACCGTACATTTGAAGCATTAATTGCTTTCACATCCATTTCCTCCAACTCCAGGAAAGTCTATTTTTTAGATTAACATATTATTAATTTATCCCTGATCATATACCTGTACTGTTGCATGTATTAAATACTAAATATACAATTTTCGTCTAATATTTAGATAAAAATAATTATCAATTACTTGTATCCGACGGCACGACACTAGTAGCTCAGCACCCGTTTCAAAGACCTCTCGTAATTGTCCTAACATTGTTATACGCAATGTATTGATCAGGGTCATTGTGACAAACACGGCTTTGGCGGTCAATAGGTTCCCGGTCAACACGTATGTTATAAAACACGCGAACAGTATTATACGGGAGGCCACCAAATATACGGACAAATTAATAGCCTTAAGAAAACAGGCCATTTGTAATCGATGCACCTCGTTCCTATTAGTATTAGTTCATATAAAAAACATTTTTGTCTATTTAATAACTATTTTATTGAGAGAGAGAGAGAGAGAGCTATTTATATCTGATTTAAATTATAATTGACTCGGTCAATGCAATAAGCGGTTATCTCAATATACTGTACATGTACAAATACTATGTATTGAACTATTAACTATATCCATATATCATATGTGTCGCCCGATTCTAAACTATGTCAAGTCCTAATTCACATACACCATACACGTAATACATTGGTCAATAAGTTAAATAAATATTTATATAATTATATATTATATTCTTTTTAAACTTACATTTAATTAAATGTAACTTAGTTTAAACTAAAACTAGTTAAACTATATTTATCACCAGGGACATACTTTCTAAAGGTGGCCACCAGTTCGGCAAACGACTGCTCCCAGGCATACATTTTGATGACTCGCATCCCCGATATAATCTCATTCATGAGCAGCAGTCGACTGTCCGTTAACTGTGCGGTCATTAGCCTATTATTTAAACATTAAACTCATCACTACATAATGACCAGGGTGAATTTATATATCGTCAAACATACCTAACTTTCGAGATGAGTTTGCTCATAAATGCCTGAAACAGCATAAACAGCAGCAATAGGGCCACACCTACGAAGCAATAG